TACCATTTTAACCACATTTACGTGAACTGCTCAGGGGCGTCATTCAGACCATTGAGCAATCCCCACCAGCCCTCGCAGGAACGCTTTCCACCTTGCAAAACTGAAACTCTGTGCTTAGTAAACAATGACTCCCACTGCCCCCGCCAGGCCCTGGCCACCACCCTCCTTCCCATCTCCATGACTTTGACTCACCTGGGTATCAAGTGGAAACTCACAGCACACGTCCTGATTTGTGGCTGGCTTATTTCACTTAATGTTCTTGGGTTGTGGCTTATATCCGGACTCCAATTCCTTTCCAAGTGTGAGTAATATTCCAATGTGTATATATGTCCCATTTTCTTCATCCTTTCAGCAGTCAGTGAACACTCTGGGGTTGCTTCCACCCTCTCACTACAGAGAATAATGCAGCTATTGCCTGTGGGTATGCAAGCAACTTTTCAGGTCTCTGTGTTTAATTCTTTCTAGTGTACGCCCACAGGTGGACGTGCTGGGTCATGTGGGACTCCTCTTGCTGTTGCCACTGGGGTGTTGTCATTGAGCCCCAGGTGCTCACAGCATTGTCCAGCTCTTCTGTCCTGTACCTTCTGGAGACCTGAGTCTGCCTACTTTTCAATCAGTTATGAAGGAAAGACTACTGAATGCCCCAACAAAAATTGGAGATGTGTCTACTCCTCCTGTTGGTGCCATCTATTTGGGGCTTGGAAGCTCTGTTGTCGGGAGCACCTGCATAGAAGATCTTTTATGTGTTTTGGGTCCCTTTATCATTAGGAATGTTCCTCTTCATTCCTGCTAACCTTCCTGGACTTTAAATCTGCTTTGGCTGACATCCATGCAACTCCAGCTGTCTTCTGTTTAGTGTTTGCATGGGACATCTTTCTCCACCTCCTTACCTTTAAACTATCATTTTGTTTATAACTATATAATTAGATATTGTATACTCAGATCTTGTGTTTTTTAATCCAATCTGGAAAGCACAGTCTTTTAACTGGTATTTTTGCATCATTTACATGTAAGTGCTGATATGGTTAGATTACTATCTATCATTCTACTGCTTTCTATTTATTCCATGTGTTCTGTATTTCTTTTATCCTCTTCTTCCTTCTCCCAAATTAAAATATTTTGATTCCACTTTACCTATTATATTGTCTTATTATTTATACCTTTAAATAATTTTTTGCTTACCCTAGGGCTTGCGTGTCCTTAATGAATAAGACTAACTTCCAATAACACAACACCACCTTATGGTAAAATAAGGGTGTACAACAGTATGTTTCCAATTTCTCCTTCCCACTCTTTATGATATGATTGTGACTATCCCTAAAGCTAAGGATGAAAACTTTTCAAAGAATTAGAGAGAACAATACCTGTTCCCACCGCTGACCTGGAAAGACTCATAATTCACAAGGCCTTGGGTTCAATATGCAGAAGGACCTGCTTAAGCAATGGAAAGTAGTTAGGTCCAGACGAAATGCTTCTCTGGTTCTACCTCTCCGATCTCAGTATCATGCTCCAAAGGATCAAAACCTTTCCAAGTGCCTCAGTTGCACCAAAGTATAAAAATGGAGTTCATTCATAGTGATATACAAACACTCAGCACCCTTGGGGAAATGGCTGAATTGGGGCTGGGGCAGGAAGCACATCAGAGTGGCCTGTGACACTTGTCATGACAGAAAGTAAAGAAATACCTTAAAAAAATAAAAAGGAAAGAAATCTGCACTGACGCGGTAGATTGAAGGCAGGCAGGAACTAGATGAAAAACTTCAAGGCCCAAATCAAAGCAATCTGGGAGAACTAGTGGGGTCCTGTGGGGCAAAGCAGGGGAGGCAGAGGGGCTGAGTGTGGGAGGCGGGCGTGGGATCCTGTGGGTGCCAAGAGCCACGCCAGAGCTCCAGTTACTACACTGGGTACAAAGTGGAGCCACCAGGGGCTCTGAGTAGGGAGGGTGTGACTGTGTTCCTGTCTCCAATCCCGGTCACTGCTTGGTGGACACTTAATTCCAGGGAGGTAAGAAAGACGCAGGGATAACATTTGGGGTTATTGCAATGCTCCAAGGAAGAGACGTAATGGGGAATTCAGAGAGTAGAAGCTTCACTACTCATTGGAGCTTCACTACTCATTTTGGTACAGGGGGTGATACTGGTGTTGAGAATCAGTTCCCAGACTCGTTCCCCGGTGTTAAAGACTGAACACCCAAGAAACACGGATGCAAGAGCAAGAGGTTTTATTTAAAAGTAGAACAGAAAGAAAGACACAGACTTCTCCACGGGGGGATGGGGGGGTCCAAAGCTGGTGCCAGAGGGAGTGGGGTGTCTTGACCTTTTTATAGGTTATTTTAGATTCCCTTTGTTCTCATGCACCCTCCTCCCATCCTGCCTAGGTGACCCAAAGGTGGAGTAATCCAAGGGCTGAACAAGCCACCCAGGGGTACAGGCAGGAAGGGAACCACCCCGGGACTACTCATAACAGCTCCTTGCAGGGAGGAACAATTCCCCGGAGGCAGGTAACCTTGGCAACAGGTGGAGGAGGGAAGTGCTCTGAAGGTATTAGCATTTTAATTTCCTCTAGATTCAGCCCGCATCGCATCTTCCTGACCCAAACATTCTTTACATACACTAACTGTCCTTTTGTCTCCCTAGCCTCACAAGGAATAGGAATTTTTTCATGTTTCAGGCTGAGCAGCAATGTTATGTTTCAGGGGTGATGAGTTCCTTGCATTGCCCCCGCTGAGGCTGCATCTGATTGTTGATTCAGAGTTAAGGAACCGCCGGCCTTCAAGACCACTCCTGCCGTGTCAGAGCTGGGGCCTTCCAGGAAACTGAGGCAATGCAAAGACCACCATCCCTTCAACCACGATTCATGGGACCAAGTCAGAAAGATTTCAGACATGTCACTCCAAGTGACAGGCATGAGCTTATGGAAGGGATAAGAAGAGGGAGGGAGGATATCTCAAGGGGGAAAGTGGGTCCTCTCAGAGAGGAGAGGGACAACCTCCCTCTCCTGCTCTTCAGTTTTATTAGCGATCCCAGAGAATTTTCTAGAAAGTCCTGCCCAGGTCCACCTCCTGACATTTGACTGACGATGGGGTGACATCAGACTTTTCAAGTCCCCACTGCAGTAATTCTAAGTCCCCTTTGCCCATGCTGACCAGTTCTAATTGAATTTTTAATCATTTTTACAGATATCATGGTTAGGAAGAGCTGTCCTTATCTTCTAGGATCTGGTCCATGAAAATGGTCTTAAAAAATCTTTCCCTTCTTGGGCTCCTCTTATCAACGTTATTTCCTGCCTGCATTTCCTTACTGATAACGGGTAGTTTGCTGAGGAATGAGGCATACCCTCCCCACTTAAGCCAGGAAGGGCTACAGGTAAATTGCTTTTTGGCAAAGAAAGCATGTGGGTCAGCACAGTGAGATCATTTTATAGAATTTTTCTCTTACCCTTGTATTCCCACCATCCTCATCTGTCTGTCCCCTAACACTACCACGTGAGCCTCCTCCCCTGGACACACAGCAGGTCCTCAGTATCCAAAGCTAAACACAGGACCACCTTTTTCTCAGCTAGCACAGTAAGCAGAGGACCAAGACTCTGAGGAAGCACATCACGTAGTGCCTAAGGACCCAGAGACTGGCTTCCACCTTGCTAGGTGTCTCTGGACGTGTGACTCGGGGCCTCTGTTTTCTTATACAAGAAATAAAGATTAATGGCCCCTAAGGGTTATTAAGAGGATTAAAAGATTAACCAGGTAAAGCTCTTAACACTCAGTAACAGCATAAGCTTTTGATATTTCTACAAGTGTGGCATATTTGGTGTGTAAATCCCCTGAGCGGAGGCTGTGATTTGCCAGGTTGGATGTGGCCTCACGCCACTGGTGCGTCAAGGGGGCCACACCCCTGCCTCCAAGGCTGTCTAGAAAGTTGCTCTCCTCCCTCAGTCCAGCGTCCAGCCCCTGCCTGTCTCCTCGCTCTTGTTTCCTGGTGTCTCTTCTGCTCATATTTCTCAAGGAGCCCAGACCTGACACACCCGTGTTGCTTCCCTGCCACTCATCCAAAGCCTCCCAGGACCTCTGTGCCAGCCCCGCTCCCTTACCAAAGTGGGACACCCAGGACCAGAAGGTAAGACTCCCTCCTTGCTCAGTAGAAAGCCTGGAGGTCCTGACCCGGCTTCCTCTGCCCTTAAACACAGCTGGAGCCGTGACTTTGAATCCAGGATCAAGAATACCTCTGGGCAAAAGCAACTTCTGCTGCTCAGAAGCCAGGTGTGGGGAACCTTCTCTCATAGCTTTGGCTATCTGGAGATGCCCATGGGCTCCCTGGCCCAGGCACAGAATGCTGGAGGACCTGGTGCCATGTTTAAGAGCGTGGTTGCTGATTTGCTTGTTCACTGTTTAGGGGTAACTGTGGAGTCAGGCCCTGAGGATCTCGAGGCAGGGAACGTTGAGAAAAACTGGTTCTCGTTTTGAAGAGTCTGTGATCCTCAGGGAACTGTCCTGGGGCCCTAACCAGAAGCAGATGTCCCTTGAGAGTCAAAATGCCTAATGTGGCCGTGGATGGCCACAGGCAGGATCCTTGGAGATTCCTCTTTGAAAAAGAGCAGAGGAAGGTGGGGGCCAAGAGGCTTGCTGGCTGCCCGTCACTCAGGAGGGTTCATCTTAAACATGGCGGAGGAGGCTGCTCAGCAGCTGTGGGAGGCCTGGGCTGAAGACAAGACATGCTCTCTTCCTTCCTCTCGACCGAGGGCCTCGCTGCACATAAGATGTCCAGGTGATGTTCTGGACCCTCCTAATGCTCCCATGTGTGATGACAGAGCCCCCAGGCATTGCAGCCTGGGCAATCAGTGTTGCCCCAGACACCAAGGGAATGGAGCTTCCATTCAGGGTCTGCTGGCCTCAAAATATGCTCTTCCCTTCCTTCCTTTCAAATATGTATGTGAGACAGGGACTCGGGGAAGCTCTCTCTAAAGAACTTTGACCACGTTCCAGGTGCTGAAGAAGAAGCGGCCACATGTCTTCCTCCTCTCCTCCTCGCCTTGAGCAGCCGCAGACAGGCAGCTGTCCACCACCTCACACGCCCGTCCCCAACACCAGCAGCTCCGAAGACCCCATGTTCACCCCGGAGCGTAAGTGGAGAGCCAGAAACCACCCAGCCCCACCAGAGATAGGGTGCAAGGACCCTGAGTCATTGGCTCAGCTGTAAATGTTATCTGCTTGGCTAAAATCTCAGAAATCTGCAGTAGAAAATCTCTTTTCTTACTGTCTCTGTTCCGAATTGCTTGTTTATTTTAACTAAGAGGGTAAAAGGGGAAAGAAACCAATGTAATGATGACCAATTAAGTAGTTTTTGTTTCTATAACTACCCAGAGACTTTACCCATCAGGAAAAAATAACCCCAGGAAAAAAAAGGGGAAGCAAATCTTTAAAATCTCTTGGCCCCATGAATGTGCTGAGATCCTTTCTGATGGTTTGATCCACAAACTGGTCCCACCTCATTTCCCTTTTCTTTCTCCCTCTTCTCAGAACAGTCAGCCTGTCTCGAGAACCCAGAAGCCAGTATTATCAGGGTGCAGCTGGGGTCCCAACGTTTGCAATAACAGTGCCTGTGTTCTGTGATTCTGTCTTCCGGCAGTTCAGGATAGGCCCATATTCTACACCATTCGTGACTCCCAACAGATGGTGTGGGTCCTGAGTGGAGATGTTTTAATAGCAGCTCCTTCAAGCAACAATGTGCAGCCTGGTAAGTGACATCAGAATCCACAGTTGCTCTGGCCGGGACCAGGAACACGAGTTCCATAAGTGGGCTCTGGTCCTCACCAACTTCTGGGCAACGTCCACAGGAAGGGCAGGAAAGAGCAAGATGGTCACCTTCCGTAAAAGGAAACCCATACCTAGAAGCAGGGGTGTAGGGATTGGCAGCTTTCTTACCTGAAGAATCCACCTTCAGGTTACTGGGGGACATCCTTTCAGGTATGGCTGAACTTGGAGTTTCTCTCCTCTAAATTCCAGCCATCACTCCCTCTGTCAAACTTCCCCATCTTTCCATTACACACTTCTCTAACTTGGCATCATCTCTTCTAATAATGGGGGCATGTTCCCTCCTTCCACCCAAAGCCAGCCCCTCTCGGCTTCTTTCCCTTTCTGCAGGACTTCTGCGTTGGATGGAGTTCCTCTCTCAGCGGGTACCCCACCTGTGTCCCCTGCGTCATCTCTACTGCTGCTGACAGACACCCTCCAGTCTTAACACCTGCTCTTGATCCTTGCTGTCTCTTCCTGTTGCTGTTCCATTGCCCTGTGTCCTCAGAGGCCGATTTCCCTGGAGAGTTGCCCACACAGCTTGCCTGCACCTCACTTCCTTTTCACATTTGCAGCAAAACAATCTGACTTCTACACTGCTCTCTTCTCCCCCCTAAGGTCCCTCTTTCCAAGTGCATCTTCAAATGCCAAATCCCAAGGGCACCCTTCTCAGCTGTCCTGCTGTAGAGCAGTGCCGGTTACTCTCCACCCTCCACCTTCTTCTTCCGCAAGAACGCTCCTGGTACTGAGGTCCACTGGCTCCTCTTCTGAGTTCATCTTTATGACTCAACTTTCTCCCAGAAACCTCCAAATCATGGGGTTCTTCAGGGCCCCATCGGCAACCCTGCAGGCCCTGTGAAGGGGTGGGGAGCAGGTCCTGTGGTTGGGTGCATGGCTTCTCCTCTCATCACCTGACATTTGTGCTCCTGGCACACATCTCTCCGAACGATCTTCTCTGGCATCTCTAACTTCACATGCCCTGGGGTGGAACTGCAGAGACCTGTCTTCTCAAAACGGATGATGGCCCCCACTAGGGGCACTGCCCCCTGCTCTACTGGCTTGGGCCAGGAACACAGGAGGCATCTGGATGCCTGACCTCACACCTCCTCCATCCACCAGCGAGACCACTGAGTCTGTATTTCTAAGTCAGTATCATCTCCAGCCGGGACTGGCACCCCGCCCCCGCCCTCCTTCCCCCTTCATTCATGGAACCTCCAATCCATTCTCCGCAGAGCCTCAGGAGGGACCTTCTTATGTGTAGAACTGAGCAGAAAGGACTTTCCTTTCCCTGTGAGCCCTTCTTCCAAGCCCCGATTTCTCTCTCTTCACTTAGTGGCCTTCCCTGAACTTTAAGGAGCATTCTTAGAAATCCCACACAACATCTCCACTTCTGGCTCATGGTTCACAACCTAAGTGTGTGGCCACATTTATCTGCCAGAGGGGTAGGAAATCTTATTTTTTATTTGGGGAAGCTCTGTGCCCTGGTGAACAATTAGGGTTCTGATATTCAGGAATAAAAAGGAAATGAGTTTCAGAAAAGCGACAAAGGGACCTGCCATGGCTAATGGGAGGAGCCATCTGGGAAAGTCCCTGACAGTCCCCCGTTAGCCTCCTGAGTGTGAGGCCAGAGGCCCAGACTCCCCTCTGTTCGAGGCCTGACCCTTCTCCATTCTTCCTGTGTTTCCAGTCACTGTCACCTTGATAGCCTGCAGGGACACAGAATTACACGATGAAGAGAAAGGCAACCTGGTTTTCCTGGGAATCAAGGGCAAAGACCTCAGCTTCTGCTGTGCGGAAGTTGAGGGTCAGCCCACGCTGCAGCTGAAGGTGAGTCGTGCAGTCAATGAGGGAAGCATAGCAAGTGGGCTTTTATCTTAACGGGTGACAGTGAAATAATATTCCTGCAATCCTGGGTTGTCCCACGCAAGGAAGGAAATCTGACCTGGCTGGTCCCCACGTCCATCAGTGGTGCCATTGGAGGGGAGGTACCACACTCGGGTCCATGCACAGCATGGCTCCTCGGAAAGCCAGAGGATGCACACAGGGATGTTCCTGAAAAGACGGGGGACGTGGCTTCTCTGTTCTCCGTCCGGATTTGCTACCCCCTAGGAGCCCCCAAGGGAATGGGAGGCTCCCACTTCAACAGACTATCACATTGACAAGTGGAGGGAGAGGGTTCATCTGGATTTCTGACAGTGTTTGTTTATATCCATGTACCCAAAGGAAGATCAGTAGGTACAAAGCCTCTGCTCATGATGGGAAGTGTAATGTCTGAATCGATGGGGAGGTTGGGACTCCAAAGAGTGCCCGGGTCTGCAGATGAAGGCACCCCGGGAGCTTCAGGGAAGGGAGCATGCCAATCCCTGTTACAGAGAAGACAGCACCTGTGTTGCAGAGCCAGGCTCCTGGAACCTGCTAGGTCCATGCCCTGACAGCCTGGTCCTACCCGACACCCCAGTGCTGGGAACTGACCCTGGGGAGCTCTATCACTGAGCCACATCCCCAGCCCTTTTTAAAATTTTTTATTTTGAGACAGGGCCTCACTAAGTTGCTGAGGCTGGGCTCAAACCTGCATTCCTCCTTCCTCGGCCTCCCAAGTTACTAGGATGATAGGCCACCATGCCCTGTATCCCTAGCCTCCAACCCTCCCTCCTGTGCACAGAGGGCTGAGTTAGCTTAGCTCCCCACTGCAATCCTCCTCACTAATGAGCCTCTTTCTCACCCCCAGGAGGTCAGTATCATGGAACTGTACAGGGAGAACAAAGCTCGGACGCCATTTCTCTTCTTCCACAGCCTGGAGGGCTCCACCTCTGCCTTTCAGTCGGCCTCCCACCCCGGCTGGTTCATAGCCACGTCCTCCACAGCCAAGCAGCCCGTGACGCTCACCCAGGAGAGGGGCCTCGCTAACACAAACTTTTATTTAGGTCGTGAGAATTAAATCCAGCCTGGTCGGAGGGTGACAGATTTCAGGATAGACTATCAAGCTGTCAGAGAATCCTTCTGCTTGAAAATACAGTGCCATCTGACCAGGTCACCATCCCCTACGAGGTCATCCGCAGTTCAGCCCATCCGTGGCCCACCTCATTCTGTCCCCCCTCAAACCTCTGCCCCTCTGTGCATCCACTTCTTCCCCATGTCCCTCGCCTGAGCACTGTCCCCACAGGAAACCTCAGAATCGCTTTTTATTCTTTCTTGGTCTCGACCCACTGTCCACTCAGCTGCCACATCCAGCTAAGTCAACCCCACATGCTTCTCACGTGACACCCTCCACCCTCTTCCTTCTGCCAATCATGGCCCGTCAATAAATGCCATAAGTAAATCCCATCAATAAAAGAACGCCATGTATTGATTTGGGGCATGTTTATTTAATACATCATATAATATAAACATTCTGTTTATACTATAAGTGTTGTCATAATATTAACATTACATCATATAAACATTTAATATAAACATACTATTCATATAACATGTTTACATTATAAACATTATGTTATAATATAAACATCATAATGTTTATAATCTCAAAAGATACATTGAAAAGATGAGATGAAAACATATCTTGATAAGCATGATGGATTCATAATCTAATTGGTTAATAATTCAATACACAGTGTATAGTTTGGCAATGATTAATTATTAACCATGATGAAATTAAATTAATCCACATTTCAGAGAATTATTCATATCAGTTACAATTTCTTCCAGGCAACTTCTCAGAGCTAACTGTACTGTCTTTTTTTTTTCTTTCTAAAGCAGTTAGAAATAGAAGAACATATTAATATTTCCTTATTATCTCCTGGAATTGCAGTGGTCTTTTTCAATTCACAGCTTCTCTTGAGGGATAGTTTCAAGCCCGTTGTTCATTTTGTGAGACTCCTGTAGGTACAGCCTGCACATTCTCTACCAGAGCACATTTAGGGTGCCGTGTTCTGGAACACGCAGCACACAGACATCCTTCAGTGTGACAGACCCTCCTCCCTCAGAAGGCCAGGCCCTCTCTGCCCAGGAAGCGCAGAGGTATCGGGTCTTGCGACGTATGCCCACTGCTGAGTTCAGTGTCCCAGCCAGGCAAGCTGGGTCCCCTACCCTGTCTTCCGGCATCACCTCCTGTTGCTTCCCTGCCAGGGGCTGTTCCAGAGACTTCTGAGCCCCCCTCTCGTCCTGTTAGCCTCCCTTTTGCTGTGAAAAGATTGGCTCTTCCAGCATTTCATGGCAGCCCCAGTGAGCAGCTCTCCCTGAGCCAGGGCTCCTGGGACACCCCGGGAGGACACTGGCAGGAATCTGCCTGGCGCTCACACAGGCATAAACCTAGAAGTGGGAGGGACCACAGGGACCTCTTGACCCATGGGGGTGGGAGCAGCTGCCCTCCCTCACCAGGACAGTTCTGAGTGGCACGGCAGGGCTGGACTCGAGACCCACCCCTGCAGAGGCTTCCCCCATTTCCTGCTCAACTCCCAGGCCCCTCTCTGGGCCCTGGACTCACCTTTGGTCACTCTGCGTACAAACCCTTGTCTCAGGCTCTGCTTTCTGGTGAGACCGATTCTATCAAAGCCAGACCTCTCTGCTCACCACCGGCATGTTGCACTCCTCACCTCTGTGCCCCTGTGTGTGCCTGGAACACATCTGCAGCCCATCTGCCACTGTGTACCCCACCTCCCCCAGATTCTCAATAGCCCAAATCTGCTTGCAAGGCTTAGAGGCCTCTCACCTTCCCCACGTCACTTCCTTTTGTGTTAAATCACATTTTTGCCTTTTCATCGGACAATTTCTTTCGTTGGACTTTGTGCTATTCTTGCCTCGGAATAACAGTTTCTACTACTATTGAAATAAATGAATCCTCCTTGCATGCCGTGAGGTCTGTGATAGCATCTGCCCGCTGATAGAGAAGCATGTCAGGCAGGATCCTGAATTGCAAAAGCAGAAGCAGCCATCGGCTTCGAGGAACATCTGAGGGACTGAGATTCCCTCAAAGAACATGCAATGGGGAAGCACAGAGAGGTTCTTGGGGCTTGCCTCTTCTGTTCCTCCTCCTTTCCCCCACGCCAGTGAGACCCAGGGACTGTGAGGTGGCTGGGACATCCACTTGGGTGTGCTGCAGAAACGAAGCACAGCCCAGAGCGTCCCCCAAGGTTGCCAGCCAGTGTCCACAGCCTGCCTCTCAGAGGGCTCAGCACATGAGAGTGTGCACATTTCCCAAGCCCCAGCACACGCATGCCGGGCACCACTGCATGGGCACACAGGAGAAGAAGCCCACGGGATTCACGGCTGCAACTTTTTTCTCTGACTCAGTCAGGTCTCAGCACAGGAGGACCCTAAAGATGGCTTGAAAGACTCGTGACAGTGAAGTTGGGCACATAGTAGGCACAACTGCAGAGCATGTGAGCCTGTAAATAGTGAAATCTATAGGAAGAATGGCGGGTGGTGTTGGAAAACAGTGTCACAGGGATGTGCTTGTAAATGTTTGCTTCCCAGCAACTCCAGGGGCCCTGGACATGGGCAAGAGACAGGCACCCACACTGCCCCATGGCCTCCAAGAGAGGGGCAAAGACACAGTGGTGGCAGGAGGGAGAAGAGGAAGAGGACGTGGAACCACAGAGGAGTCGGCATATCCCCTCCCTGGGTTAAGGTGTGTGATGCTCTTTGCTTGAACCTAAGCTAAGAATCAAAGGAGGAAGCCCAGGAAGAGGGATTTCTGTTCTGTCGGTATCAGAAAGCACTTCCCAAACATTGTGATTCCACAGTTTAAGAATTTGGGCATCCTGCAGAAATGCCTCCTTTGCAGGGAGCTAGGTGAATCCCTTGTCCATCCGCAGCATGAAGAGAATCATGCCAACATCAACACACAGGAGAAGCAAAGACAGACAGCGGAGTAGGAACACTCTAGAATCATATCTCCTGTTCAGTCTCTGAAGCATGGGCTCCTGTCTGTCTTTCCTCCAGTCTATGATTGGATACAGAGAGTCCGCCTGAATCTCCCCCAGTCAGCAACCTGGATGCTGGTCCGAGTCCACTTCAAGTGCTCCTACCGTCCTTCGTTTCTCCTGCTCTTTCCTTCCCTCAAATCCAGTTCCCTTTATTCTTTGGAAGAGAAACTTTTCAAGAATCTACAAACTTAAAATTGAAAATCTTTGCCTCCTACTTAGTCAAGAAGTTTGTTTTTATTTTGTCTGTGACCTAATGTGAACGGGGAACAAGAAAACACCTACACTGCCAATGAGAACGAAATACAAACATGCCAAAGACAGACGGACGGATGGACCGACCGGGTGCTGAGTCCCTTACAAGCAGAAGGTTCCTGATTATGACAATAACACTGAGCAGTCGGCCTAGGCCATATGGTTGGGTGTGACTCTTGAAATAAGTGGACATTAAAAAATGCGTAAATTTACCCAAGCATCACACTATGGCCCATAAAGACGTTCAACTACTATCCATTAATAAAAAAATTATGGCAGCGGAAAGTTGGTGGACCCAGCATGGAAGCCCAGTCAGTTACTTCTTCCAAGGCAGGATCTCCCAGGCCGAGCAGAAAGGGGTGCTCTGGTTAGGCCTCTTATCAGCAGCCACCAAGTGGCCACCCTGGGCACCCATTCTCTCACCCCTCTGCTGGTTATCTTGCCAGAGGAAGTCCAAGTCCAAGGACATGGCCAGGACCCCAGCCTTTGAGGCCCTCGGAGCCCCTGCTCACACTCCTGTCTTGACCTGCCATGTATTCCTCCCTCTTTAGGAAATGTTAATCATCAGCTGTCACTAATGAATTGGTGCATTTACTTTGTAAAAAAAAATAATAATAATAGAAACTTAAAACATATCAGATAAATCCAAATTCCTTTCCTCCAATCCTGGTTCCCCTCTCCCCACCCTAATGGTAATCATTGTTATGTGCTGGGATCCCTCTGATCTATTTCTCCACACATGGAATGTGGAAATACACAGGGTGGTTCTGTTGGTGCCTCTGTGCATGTATGTGTGTGTGTGCTCGCTCGAGTACATCTCCCTGATTAGTGTAACACCACCCTGTTTTTCTCTGTGCAATTTTGGGTTCAGCACCACAGCTGCCTAGAGGGCTCTCTCAGGATAGACCTCCTGTTTCTGCAGCAGCTGCCAGTCATTCCTTCCTAGATAGTTAGTTTCCATTTTCTGGGAGTTTCCCTTGTAAATAATGTGGCAACAGAGGTCCCAGCGCCTGCCTCCCACACACACCCACGACTTTCCTTACAAGAGAGAGCAAGTTGCCTGACTGTGGAGCATGCACATTCTTTATTTTCAAGCCCTCCCTGTGTCCAGGACAACTCATTGTCGTTCCGACTTGCTCATCCCTGATTACTAATAAACCACCCACCCCTCAGCACACTGCCGTCGGACTCTGACTTCTGACTTCTCCACCCAAGCCTGTTCCCCGGAGCATCACAGTGACACCTCTGTTGCCTAATCCAGGACACGGTGTTTTAGGCCCAGCCTGCCCTGTCCTCAATCTCCACGCTCACCTGCGGGCCGTTCTGCAGCAAGCTGCTCCTGGGTTTTCCCCATCTCCCTGGATTTCCCTTCTGGCTCCCATTTCCTGGTTCCTCCCCAGGTGACCTCTGAAGGCTGAAGTTACTCAGGACTCATCCTTGGGTCTTTCTACCATCTCCCTGGCTGACACTAGGGATGCTCATGAATTTAAATTCTAGCTGTAATCCAGCAAATCAATCTCTGGCCCAGAACTCTCTCTTCACCCCAGATTTGACTGAGGGGGCGACCAATCTGGACTGTCTCAGAACTTCCAGGATGAATGTGTCACACCTGGAACCCTTAATTCTGCCTCTACCACCCCAAGGCTTCTCCATCTCAGCTCCTAGAGACAGACATCCGGAGGTTACCTTCTGTTTCTCTGTACCCTGAAACCCCTCAGTCACTCCATCACACCGCCATAGCTGCCACCAAAGTGCACCT